GGCTGCGTCAAGGTTGCTTCGTGCTGTGGCTGCATTGGTAATACTATTGTCTTTTGCAGCTGGATCTCGTAAATCGTACTGGAGTGGCTGCATGAAGGTTGCCACAGTGATTTGTCAGCAGATTTTCTCCATTTTGGCGCTAGTGATTTTCCTTCTAAAAATCCTTTTAAAAAGCGCTTCAAAATCGTCTTTTTTTCGCTGGCGTCGAGATCCGGTTTTGGAGCTACAATTTCCGACGCCGTTGCGCGTAGTTCTATTGTGCTTTGCAACTCAGTCTCTGCAGATCGCATTGTAATGGCTGCGTCAAAGTTGCTTCGTGCTGTGGCTGCATTTGTAATACTATTGTCTTTTGCAGCTGGATCTCGGAAATCGTCTTGGAGTGGCTGCATGAAGGCTGCGAAATGGGTTTGTTAGCAGATTTTCTCCATTTTGGCACTAGTGTTTTTTTGTTGGACGTAGGTTTAGAGCAATGTGAAGTGTGGGGCGTGAAGAATGCAGTCTGAAGTGTGCAGTGTGAAGGAAGCAGTGGGAAGTGAGAAGTGTGGAGTGTGAAGTTTAAGTTTGGAGTGCGAAGAGCGCAGCGTGAAAAGTGAAGTGCGAAGTGTGAGGTTTGGAGTGTGAAGGAAGCAGTGAGAAATGAGAAGTGTGAAGTGTGGAGTCTGAAGTGTGAAGTGTGTTTTTTTCAGATTTTGGCTGCTTGCAAACAACAAAGCTTGGCAAATGCAATTTTTGCGTTTTGGCATCGAGATCCGGTTTTGAAAGCTCGTTTTGTATAGCCTGAGGCAGTGCATGTGTAGTTTCAGGTCAGCCAGGCTGTGTGCGAATTGTGCATGTTCCCGCCGCCGTTGTTTGGGTCATACATGCGAATAAATCAATTCGGTGAGAACACGATCATATATAGCAAACATGCAACATAGCCATCATATATAACGTCTTAGGTGAACAAGTGTCAACAAACATCACGCATGTACACGATACAACCTTGCAACTGCGTAGACTCGCAACGCGTACGTGCGACGTTCTGGTCCGCGGAAGCGTGGGTACGTGCGACGCTGTGGTCCGCGTAGGCTAGCGCCATGGAATCGTCGCTGTTCGAAGACCTTCTTTGTTTCTTGCAGAAAGAAGAGCTTGTGTTGAAGGCTTTGCGCGCCACGGATTTGAAAGCATGCTTGCGGACAGGGACAGGCACCAGAGGATACGAAGCAAATGAAGAGCGAGCCAAGTATTACAGAATTTACAATAAGATTGAGAAGCAAGTAACGGCTGACCAAAAAGCGACTCTAATGGATTGGGAACGAAGGCTTTGCAGTGAGGCGGAGGACATTGATTTCGCACGTTTGCTTACTATACTGGAAAACCGTCAAGATGACTTGCGAGAAATGCAAAAAACAAGTCTCCAAGCATGCTTTAACAGCAACCTGAGCAAGACAGACAAGGACTTAAAGTTTTGCCAAAATTTCTTCAAACGCAAAAAAAACAGTATGACAGATGAACAGCAAAAGGTTGTGGATGAATGGGAGGAGATCATTTGTGCCGATGGTGCGGGGTTATGTCCTGCCATCGATGCAGATTTCGCACGCTTGCTTACTATACTGGAAAACCGTCAAGATGACTTGCGAGAAATGCAAAAAACAAGTCTCGAAGCATGCTTTAACAGCAACCTGAGCAAGACAGACAAGGACTTAAAGTTTTGCCAAAATTTCTTCAAACGCAAAAAAAACAGTATGACAGATGAACAGCAAAAGGTTGTGGATGAATGGGAGGAGATCATTTGTGCCGATGGTGCGGGGTTATGTCCTGCCATCGATGCAGATTTCGCACGCTTGCTTACTATACTGGAAAACCGTGAAGATGACTTGCGACAAATGCGAAAAACAAGTCTCGAAGCATGTTTCAACAGCAGCCTGAGCAATACAGACAAAGACTGAAAGTTTTGCCGAAATTTCTTCAAACGCAAAAAAACAAGTATGACAGATGAACAGCAAAAGGTTGTGGATGAATGGGAGGAGAAGATTTGTGGCGATGGTGCGGGGTTATGTCCCGCCATCGATGCAGATTTCGCACGCTTGCTTACTATACTGGAAAACCGTCAAGATGACTTGCGACAAATGCGAAAAACAAGTCTCGAAGCATGTTTCCAGACACGTGTCAGCAATGCAGACAATGATCTTGGTTTTGGACGGAACTTTTTCCGTCGGCAGAAAGATATGTTGACGGATGAGCAGCGCAAGGTTCTTGAGGACTGGTCTTCCAAGATTTGTTCCCATGAGCCTGTTGATGATGGCTTTCGGCGCTTTCTTTCAACTTTGCATGCTCGAGCACAGGAGCTGTCTGCCTTGCGCAAATGTGACCTGAAAGGCATCTTTTCGTCCCATATTTGCAAAAAAGATTCGGAGTTGAAATTTTGTCAAAACTTTTGGCGGCGCAGCGCAGAAAAATTTAGCCCCGAGCAAAAGGAACAAGTGGAGGATTTGAAAGCAGGAATTCTTTGGCCTCATGCGCAAGACGATCGTGCGGCGTTGCGGCCCGCGGTTGTCAGGATGTTGGACAAATTTGAAAGCATACTTGCACGCAGAGAGGCAGAATTTCGCGGCTTTGGGGCTGCGAGTGTTTATGGTCTGTTTACCGGGCACGCGAAGAAATCTGATTCTGAGGTTAGATTTTGTTACGATTTTGTCAGCCGTGTGTTTCCCAAACTGGAAGATTCGGAGCAACAGCGACTTCGCATCAAACTGGATGACCTGTTGTTGAAAAGCTGCTCGGTGCCCGTGAAAAGTAGTTACCAGGCCAAACTACACGATGCAGAGACTGTCTTGGGCGACGCTCTTCCACGCCCAAGACTGCCGAAAAGTTTGCGTCAGCTGTTTGGCAACAGTATGGATGCAGAGGCAAGGATCATGCCGTTCTTGCACCGTGTTCATGAGGTGGATGAGTTTATGGTTTCCTTAAAATTTCAAGACTGTGACTATTGCCACGAAGGATGGTTTGGCAGTGATAGAAAACGGGCAGACTTGCCTGGTGGTTTTGAAACCGAAACCTATAAGAAGACCAATTTCTTGCGTGCGCCTGAGAACCAGTGGCTAGACCCAGCGCGACCGATCTGTCAAAATTGTCTGCTTCCTTTCCGCTTGACAGGTGCGAACTTCGCAGATCCTGGGCCAACGTTGCCAGAAACCGACGCTTTGAGCTTCTTTGAAGAGGAGATCTTATCGCCAATCCAGCATATTGTCCGCATCTTTACGCTGCACGCAACAGGACAATGTGAGCTCCGCGGTCACGTGGGTAACCTGTTCCAAAATGGCCCACAGTATGTTCGTGACATCCCTGCAGCTGTGGGTGACATGAAGATGCTTCTGATACGGCGGTGCCCCAAGGATCCAAACCGCAAGCAGCGAGTACCTTTCCTTGTGTCAAGGCGACGTTTGCAACGTGCTCTTGATCGCCTTTGTCGCACGTTGGAGGAGGATGGTTCTTTGGCTCTCCAGCCCGGGGCACTGACACCGGGCGGCTACGTCGACTTGGTGAAGCGGGGAAACCTCGACCAGTACGCAGACACTGAGGAAGGCGAGGAACCCCATGGTCTGCAAGTTCATGTCGTCGAGCAAAGACCATGGGAGCGCGTGGAGCGCAAGCTGTTCGCTTTGTGGATGTCGTGCTCGCTGGAGTTGCAGATGGCAGCCCAGGTACGCCTTTTGCATGAGCCCGAAGATGTGCAGGATCCGGCGGAGAGGGTGGATGTTCTGTGGAAGAATTTGCGTGCTGCTATGGATGCCAAGGCCCCGGATGTTGTGGGCGGCCCTTCAGACTTGATGTTTACAACGCTGGCTCAATACTTGTCTCTGCAGTTTTCGGACAAAAATGTGCAAGACGTAGAAAACATTTTGCACGATGAACTGACGGCAGTGCAGGAGTTAGCTTCCTGGGAAGAGCCTTTGGTGTCGGATGGCTTGTGGTCGCCTGAAGATGTAGCTGGCCAGCAGACTGAAGCAGAATTGAAGGATGACTTATGGGAGACGATCTGTAAAGCCAACGAAAGCGCCAGCAACAAATCTACAATTCGTCGTTTTGGGGCAGCGCGGGTGCAAGGTGTGCCTATTCTGGATCCCCCAACCGTAGCATCCAGAAACCAACTAGTCAGGGAAGATCAACCTTATTACATTGTTGCTGGTTTTGTGAAATTGTTTCCACTTGGACAAGGAGATTTTTGGGCGCACTTGCAGCAGCGCCAAGAGGAAAACCAACAGCCGTTGTCGTTCTGGGAGTGGCTGAAGCATTTGCTTTTGCGTTCGGATGGTCGATTTCAAGCCCACCCACGGTTCTATTTTTTTGCTCTGAACACCGCTTTGCGCAACAAGGCTTTGCGTGCCCGGGGATATTTTATGAAGCGCCAGCAGGGGGCGAGCAGCAACGTTGCGTACACTACAGAGGAACTTTTTAACATGGGTAAAGCTCAGTTCACCAAGATTGTGTCAGCTTTCGAACATTCCATGGCCGGCTCAGCGCAGGAGAAGTTGCGAGAACGCAGTGACTTAGAGGCCATGGTGGAGCAGATTGAACAAGAGACGTTGCAAGATCAGGCTCACGCTTTGTTGCAATCTTGGCGCGAAGCTGAATCTGCTGGAAACATGCTTGAGCAGCCAGGTTTTGGTACTTCTGCTGCAGAAGTGCGAGCCGCGTGCTCCGTTGCAAAAGCTGCGGTTGAGAAGGTCTTGTCGCCAGAAACCATTGAAGCCCAAGCTAAGCCTTCTGTCTCGTGTGTCGTTGTGGACCGCGAGATGGATGAAGGGCCCCAGCCTGATGTCGCGCGCGTCGTTGCGGACCACGCGGCAGAACCGATGCAGCAGGAAATTGAAGTCAGCCCAGCTGCGGAGGAAGAAAGTGGCTTTGCGTGCTCCAGGGGCCGCTCAGGACCTAAAACTATTCAAGATTTGCTGTTGGAGGTGCAACAGCGTAGCTTGTGTGTGCAGGGTGGCGGTGAAATCCCATGTCACTTTAGCACTTTGACAACCGCCATTTACCATTGGGATGATTTAGCCACATGCTTAGAGCAGTATGAAGCAGCTGTCCTGCAGCAGCGGAACAACAGAGCCGATCCCTTGGAACCAGCAGAACGGCAGTTGTCGTCTGAACGCCGGCGAGTCCTGCGTTACCCCGGTGTGGTCGCCTGGTTCACTGCGTACAAAATGGAGCTCTTTTACAAGCATGTGTTGAGATATGAGGATGGACAGGGTGTGTTCGAATGGGGCGCAGGTGGCATTATGCATTTGCATTCGATCAATTTTGGCTCTTGCATGCCCCGTGTCGATCCAACCGCAGCAGGCATGCAGCAACCGGACGAGAAGAGTGCCGAGATAGCGGCGCAGTTTGCAGAGATGCATGAAGAGTACTTGACGGATTGGAGCCTCAGCAAAGCAGAGAAGTGGACCTTTCATGAGGTGGACAATTGCGCTGCCAGATCTGCTCGTGTAGGGTCACCTTTGCACACAGACTCAGAATCTGATGGCTCCGAGGATATGGAGGATGCGTTGGACGAAAAGTGCGTTCGCCGTAAGGCCCCTGGTGCTGGTTTAGATCTCGGTGCAGCTGCAGATTTGTTTGGGCAGCATGCTGTGGCAGAGGACGTCGATTTTCAACGTGTTTACCCCACAGCAACTACAATGGTGTATGTGCTGTCACAAGGTGCTCGTGTGACACAAGCTTTGACAGAAACAGATCGCAGTTTATTGCGTAGTTTGGATGTTTCTCTCCAAGATCCAACTTGGCACCCCTGTCGAATTTCTGTTGCGCAAAAAGCTTTGCTAATGACCAACAACTGCAGGTTGGTTCGCCGTGCTCGTCGCAAATGGTATCGCAGGCTGACGGACAAATGCAATAGGCATGATCGGCACGGTGGTGCAGGTTTTGAAATTCCGCCTGTTCATGTTGAAGCGAATGTGGACACACAGCCCGAGGAAGAAGAAGGCGCCGAGCCAGAGGCAGAGGTTGTCACGGCGCGGATGCAGCAGTGTCCACTGCGTGTTGGAACACTGAACATGCACTTGCTGTCGCCGGGTACTTGGCTTGAGGATCTCTTGGACAAGTGCGATGTTCTATTCTTGCAGGAAGTCACCGCTGAGTGCTTGGAAGATCTTTGCTTGTTGGGACAACAAAACGGTTACGAAGCGGTGTCGCCGCTGTTGCGTGGCCAAACGCCAGAGGAAGGGTTTGATGTGTGTGTTCTTTTGAAGCTTGACGTTTTACAATCTCGCAGAGTCACGATTTCGCCTTTACCATCTCCTTCCAACAGAAAGCTTTTACAGGTGTATGTCACTCTCCGTGACAATGGGTCAATGCTGTTGGTTGCCACAGCGCATTTCACGTCGGGTTCGAGCATGGTAGAGCAAAGGGCTTCGGAACTTCAATCTGTTTTGGCTACTCTAGAAGCATTAAGCAACGTAGACGCTTGTGTTTTCGCTGGTGGCTTGAACATGCGTCTGGAAGAAGCCTTGCCACCAGGTGTGTCCCCAGGCTGGCGAGATGCATGGGAAGAAGATGGAAGCCCGGAAACCCGGTGTGGCACCTGGTGTCCTGAAAGCATGCAAGCGGATGATGCACGCGTGCGTGCGTGGCGTTTCGATCGCATTTTGACTTTGTGTCAGTTTGGGCACATGGACAAGGCTAGTCCTACGCCGTTACGGGCTGGGACAGAGGCTACCGAACGGGTTGCTTTCGCCACTGTGGAACTGCAGCCGGGGTCGTTCGATGTTTCATTTCAGTCGCAGGACTTGGATCATGCATTTGTGCAAGCGAAGTTTGAGTTCATGCCTGTGGTTGCCGGTGAGCGCGAACTCGTAGCAGAACGGGTAAAAATCTTGAGACCCGGACTGGGTTCAAAGATTGCGCGCAGGCCTCTGGAGCGAGAAAGCTGCGCGCAAAAACAACATTGCAAAAGTTTTTGCGGCAAGGACTACGAGAAGCCTCGCATGTTACCAGGAATGGGTGCCATTTTGGAAGATAGCCGGCGAAAGAGTTTGTTCCGGTTGTATACGCGTCGGAATTGCCACCACTTGAACACGCACGACCCCTTGAAAGCTATGGGTTTGGTGGCTAACGTAGATGATCAAGTGGTACTGACCGTGCAAGCCGCTGTGAATTACTTGACTAAGTATTTGGGCAAAATCGGCGGAGGCCACAGTGCGCAAAGTCGCATCAGCGGATTGATAGATGACATCGTATGTCGCATGGGTGATCGTGAGACGATGACTGTTGCATCGCTTTTGTCAAAGCTTTTTATTCACTCGGCCGTGCCGGATGAAATTTGTTCCTTGGAGGCATGGCATATTTTGATGGATTTGCCCCGTGTCCTGTCGTCCAGGTATGTGACGTCTCTGAATGTCAAGGACGATTCGAGCGCCTTGAAAGATTTGCCTAGCATTGAACTAGCATCTGCGGAAGAGAACGTGGTCAAGAAGAGCAAGGTGGCTGTCTACTTGGATCGATTCAACATGAAGGCGCAAGGCGATGTCTCCGCAGCATCTCTCGAGAACATGTCCCTTTTTCAGTTCATCAGTCGCATAGATCGACGTGGGAAGTCGTTGCACTTGCGAACCAAAAGCACGATTGTGAAGGAGAAACCGTTCTTGCGCTTGGATGCTCGCCGCAAGGAGGCGGGCGCCATGGCCCGTCTGTGCTTGCGTCTGCATCGCCCTTTTCGAACTGAAGCTGCGGATCCGATGCACCTCGAAGATGGGACGGCTGTTGCAGAGTTGCATGCATTTGTGCGAAGCCCCACCTGCCCGGTTTGGTTGAAAAAAAGATATGCCAAGCACAATCGAGTCAAGGCCGCCAAGCAAGCAGCGGAAGCACTGTCTTCGGTGAACATCACATCAGCAACGGAGAACGCCAATGTCTCGCACGGTGCGGTGTTGCGACCCGCCGTGCCAGGCTCCCAAGCTGCAATGGGTCCAGCTGTGCCAGAGGACGGTGCGTCCCAGTCGCTGTCTGCAGGCGATCCCGGGGACGGTGCGGTGTTTCGACCCGCCGTACCCGCTTCGCAAACAGTTATGCATCCAGTGGTGTCAGAAGCTAGTGCACCCGATGCCATACGTGTCCCGCTCGTACCAGCACCAGGTAGCAGCGCGCGTGTCATAAATTTAAGTGCCGGAAACACGGAGGATCCTGAACCTGATGATGTGTGCATGGACAATGTAGAGTCAAGCGACAAGTTTTTGGCCGACACTGCCGCAAACCGGCAAGTGGTTGCAAACCGACATGGTTTACTGTGGGGTGGTACACCGGGAGATAGCCGTCACAGTGTGGTTGACGCTATTCGGTTGCATAGGCCGCCTTTGAAATTGGTGTGTGTCAAACAATACTTGGAAGCACTGACAGGTACCAAGCCGCAAGGTTCCAAAAAAGTACTATTTTTGGTGGAGCGTTTTGTGTTTTTAATGTTGTTCATTGACTTGCAGTCGTACGAAAAAAGAGGTGCTGGAGTTTTCAAGCAGTGTTTGACGAAAAAAGCGTTGCAGAACTTGGCTACCTATTTTTTCCAGTCGCAGGGCTCGGCCGTGACTGCTAACTGCTAAACAAAAGAAAAATGTAATTATGAAACCGTATGCTGAGTTGTGGGAATACATTAAATCAGAAACCTTGAAGCAGTGCGGTCTGGCCGTGTCGGCTTCACCTGCGCACCGCGTCGGTTTCGATGGACAAGCGGCGAACACCCAGGCAGAGCTCAAGAGCGGCGCCTGGCGGCAGAGTGTCTTTTGTCTGAATCCACAATCTCTGGAACATGAAGAATGGGAGGACGCCGCCGAGAGAGAAGCAAAAAGAGTGCGGTATGTACAGGCAGCTATGCACGAACAGAGTATGGGTCGGCCGGGAAAGCGCTTGCATGAAGTGTCGTTGCCTTTGGATGCAGATGCGCTGATGTGCGCCGATTTAGATACCAGGTCCGAATGGGATGCTTTGAACCCTTACTTGGAAAAGGTGACTTCGCAATGGATATGGCCAGAGCTGGCTGTAAAGATTCTCCCAGGAACCAAAACCTACGTTCTCAAGCCGTCGCAAGGGGGCCTGGCGCACACTGAAGCAGAGCAGATGACTAGTGGACACGGCGGTTCCTGGCAGACGAACGGAGAACCTTCCCTTGACCCCACGCAGAATTCGTTTGTCGAGCACATGTGTGCCTGGAGAGATGCGTACAGAGCCGAGAGAGAAGTCTGCGAGGCGAACTTGCCGCTGCCACGCGATTTGCATGGATCCATGGCCTTAGGGGAACCAGTGCTATTACTTGGAACGGCAGGAACTGGGAAAACTACGACATTACAAGCTGCAAATCGCCTCTTGGAAGCATGCGGCTTCCAAGGTCGCATTGTTCGCTGTGCATACACTGGTGTTGCCGCAAGCAACATGGGCAGCGGAGGTCGAACGCTCGTGTCTCTGTTCCGTCTGAGCAAGCGCAAATTCGGAGGTGGCTTGGAACCTTTGTCCTCAGAAGATCTTCGAGCAATGGATGAGGAACTCAAAGGCATGTGCTTGCTTGAAATTGACGAGGTGTCTATGACAGAAAAGCTAATCCTTGCGCACGTGCATCAACGCTTACAGCAGTGGCGGTTGGAGTTATATCACGATCAACACTGTCGCAGTGGTGCGGAGTTGTGTCCCGCCACGGCTTGCGTCTGCGGTGCTAGGCTGCCGTTTGGCGGTGTGAAAGTTGTTCTTGCAGGTGATTTCGGCCAGTTGCCGCCAGTGGCAGTGCCGCCAGAACGAACTCTGCTATGCTCCAAGCCGAAAACTGAAGGGCAAGATCGGCAAGATGTCAACCTTGGACTCCGGTTGTTTCAACAGATTCGTGTTGTTTTTCGGCTGCGCAGGATTCACCGGCAGGTAGGTCAATCATTATACAAGGAGTCTCTTTTGCGCCTGCGCGACGCAGCGCACACGAAGGAGGATGTTCAACTGTGGAAGACCCACGATTTGACTGACTTGGCGGCTTGCACCCTCACGGTTGAAGAGCGGCTCTTTTTCGAGCAGAAATGCGTGCACTTGTTCTGCGAAAATCGCCGCGCCGGACAGTTCAACGGCCGACGCTTGGGCGAGGATGTCATGGACAAAGACAGCTCGACGATTCTTCGGATTTGGTCCGTAGACAGCACTCCTGGGGTGGAGCGTTACACCAGCGAGAACTACGGAGGTTTGAAGCGCGTCTTGCACTTAGCTGCAGGCGCCCCAGTGATGTTGACCATGAACTTGCGCACTGTCTGGAACTTGGTCAACGGCGCTCGTGGACATGTGGTCGCAGTCGTTCCCGTTGAAGAACCACCAGTAGCGGCTGGCAGCGGTGCGGTTGGCACACCTCTTGTTGCACAAGTGAATGAAGTGGGCGGTGTGTCCGCTGGCACAGCTGAATATGTGATCGTGGACTTTCCTGGATACGTGGGCCCGGTGATGGTGGCTGGTCATCCAACTTGGGTGTGTGTTCCTAAGCTCAGCAACAGACACGAAAAGTTTCGAGGTTTGGCTCGCACGCAGTTTCCTTTGGTGTTGTGCTATGGCATGACGGTGCACAAAAGCCAAGGCTTGACACTGGCCTCCGGCTGTGTTTTCAATATGGAACATGAACCCACCTGGTCACCTTTCAAGCAGATGTGTGGCTTGGCCTTTGTGGGTTATTCGCGTGTGACTGACTTTGCAAAGATGGCCTTCAAATACGTGCCCGATTACTGGTCTTTTCAAAGCATGGCCGATACAGACATGTTTCGATGGCGAGCCGCATTGGAACAACGTTTGGACGAGCTCCACGACAAAACGGCGGAAACCATCTTCCATGGTCAAGCCTCTGTCAAGGATGATGTGCAACGGCATCGTGCGTGGTCGGAAAAGTGCACAGGCAGGCAGATGAGCGACGATGAGCTCGCGGACTTGACGCATATGTTGTCCCTGCGCGGGGTGTTACCGCAGCCAGGCTACACTGACAAGCCGGTCCGTCGCTTGGCCAGTAAAGCAGGGGGCGGCAGGACGCAGCGCAAGACCATGCGCGGCGGAAGCGCAAAGGCGCGCGCAGAGGAGGGGGTGGCCGATGGGGCAGGTGAGCCTGAGTGTGATGAAGGTGGAGTTTCGGCCGACGAAGAGGCGCACTGGGCTGCACTTAAAGAAGAAGACGAGAGGACAAATGCGTTGATGCGCGAGTATTACGAGGATCAGGAGAGAGAGG